AACACAGTGCGCAATTATTTATTACCCATCGGATGGCGGAATATAAATCTGTAATATATAATAAGTATAAATAACGAATACAGAGTGCAATTATTTATTACTCATTGGATGACTGAATATAAATCTGTAATATATAATAAGTATAAATGTAACGAATACATTGCGCAATTATTTATTACTTATCGGATGGCGGAATATAAATCTGTAATATATAATAAGTATAAATTTACATGAATACATTGCGCAATTATTTATTACCCATCGGATGGCTGAATATAAATCTGTAATATATAATAAGTATATATGTAACGAATACAGTGCGCAATTATTGATTACCCATCGGATGGCTGAATATGATTGTATAATATATATAGTAAGTATAAATTTCCATGAATGCATCGCACAATATTCTATTACCCCTTGAATGGCCAAATATATGTATGATAAATATTAATGCAGCGAGCAAACTTTGATTATATATTAATACAAGGTAAGAATAAATATTATTTTCCTCAACGTTAAAATATTTTTGACTTTTGAAAAAAATATCTAGTATCTTTGCGTCAGTGCGAAAAGCGTATTTCAAGTCGCTCTACCTTGTTTATTTCTATGTGCCTCTATCCATTTCGTTTCAGAAAAGAAAAGCGAAGGCCTGAAAAGAATAAAAGAAAAATATTGAGTATTCTATGCATTATAATAGCCCTTAGTTAATAAGCCAGCTCGTAGTTTAAGAATCGTTTCCAGTGCGCATACGATTTTATCCCGAATTTCTCACCTTCTTTTGTTTAAACCTTCTTTTGTTCTTAATTAAACAAAAGAAGGTGAGAAATTCGGGATAAAATCGCATGCGCACCGAAAACGATTCTTAAACTACGAACTGGCTTATTGCAAAAGAATTAACAATAATGATAGTAATGATTCAAAATAAAATCTTTGGAATAGATATTTTTTGAATTAGTTAAGTATCGCTGTTTAGATTGATCACAGACTCATTTATTCAGGGTTAGCCTCTTTTGAACGTCAGAATATTCACAAACTTCAACAGGAAAGTGAAGAATGCACAACTTTACAATAAAAAAACACTGAAATTCCACGGAACTTGACTGGGACAAAGTGAATATTCAAAATAACGCAATAGAGACTAGCCATGTACGACAGTGAATTTGAAACTGAAGTATTACGAAATTATCAAAAAAAGTTCTTTTTAAATTCAGAAAAATATTGCTGGAGAAGGTTGAACGAACGCAAAATCTCAGGGTTGATGCAGTAACAGTTTTCGCTAGACTAATATCTTTATTAGCAGACGTTTTAGGATTTTTTTAGTTTACTTGATGTGAAAGCAATTTTTAATCAACTGCGCTTAATATTTTCATTTAAATGTGGTATTTCCAATATCAGTTACTTTTCTTATAAAGAAGCTTTGAACAAATATGCATACATATATTTTTAAACGTTCTAATTTACTGGCTCTACTGAAGTTTAAGCTCTCGAGCCGAACACGTTTCTTTAAGCAAATTCGTTCTACTTCAAACCCTTTATCTTTGACTCATGCAGGAAATTAAAGTTTACGTTTTGTTAAATTTCAAAATGAAACACTAGAAGCCTTTAGGTATTTTCATATCGTTTTAACGTCGTAAAATTACTTAGTTTAAAGAATGAAAATTTCATAAACTTACCCATTCGAAATTCGCGCTGCAAGTGAAGGTTGACTCTCAAGCGGCGCTATAAAAATCCTGTTGAATGTCATCGAGGAAAATTTGCCAATTGGAACGCATTTGAATTGCCATCTCGATATCATAACCAACCAATAGGGATTCAGAACTTTCTGTCATTTTTTTCGCGCACGTTTGCATTCCCACCTCAAACTTTTCACACTGATGATAAACGTGTTGCTCACAAGCATGAATGAAATCTTTTTTGTTTTGAATAAATAGTTTTAGCCTGGGCGTAAATGTCTTGCCCATGCAAGACCGCAAGTCATTCCCTTGGGTATTATTTCTTTGTCTGGATGCAAATGAAACGAATCCCATTCTCAAAAGAATGACACGTGGCCTTAAAAGGGCAAAACGAACACCCAAGAAAGAAGTCTGTTGAGAGGGAGTATTATCCATTCCCAGGTTGAGAAAAAACCGGGTCGAGTTAGGATTTCAGTGCAATGTGGGACTGTTTGAGTGGACGAGATGGCGGCTATTTCGTTCGTTAAAACACCCTCAAAATGCACTGGAATGCAAACTCCATTCATCCATCCTTTAGACGATAGACACATTCAAACATGGTGGTCATTTTGAATTTGCTTCAAATACACTTATTTCAATAAAGTTAGTCAACAAAAACCTAGAAAACTGTGATCACTGAGAATCATGGGATAATATTTCATATTCAACAAGTAAAGGTTTCGACACAAACTGCAGTAGTTGAGGATATGCTCAGAGGTCAACTTGTAACTGGTAGATGTTTTATCTACCCACCCATTATCCATCTCATTCATCCTTCCATTCATCCCATTAATCCATCCATACCATTTATCCATCCACCCTATTCATCCATCCATCCTTTTGTCCATCCGTCCGTCCATTCATTCGTTCTTTTATTCACTTATTTTATTTATTCTCTCATTTTCTCTTAATTTTCTTTCTTTCTTTTTTCATCCAGAGTTTGGTAAAACAAGTTTGTTTCATTATAAGATAAATAAAATTTATTCACATATAGTACAAATACAATCAAAAAGGTCCTTTCACTGGATGTGAACTCCATTAGACCATGACTATTTCACGCCATTGAAAGGACCTTTTTCAAAATCGAAAAGGTCCTTTCACTGGATGTGTCTTAGACCATGACTATTTCCCATCCATTGAACGGACCTTTTGGAATATAGAAAAGGTCCTTTTGCTGGATTGGAAACTTCTCCATTAGACCATGACTATTTCGCATCCATTGAAAGGACCTTCTTAATAATCGAAAAGGTCCTTTCACTGGATGTGAACTCCACTAGACCATGACTATTTCACATCCATTGAAAGGACTTTTTGTAATGTAGAAAAGGTCCTTTCACTGGATGTGAACTTCATTAGGCCACGAGTATTTCAAATTTTACTCTTGCTAATGAATTGTCCTTTTAGATAGTATTAACCTATGCTATCATACCAGTTGAAAGGACAAAGCTACTCTCACAAATTGTCCTTCTACATGATAATAACCGAGATTTTTCTATGGGTCGTAGGGGTGCTGTGCACAAAGTTAACCCAGGGAAGGCCGCACCCCTTAGGATCAAAGGGAAAAAACGGTATTGGTTATCCTCAAAGTTGGGGCACAAAGTCGAACCAGGGAGGGATGTGCACCCCCTGCACCCCCTCCCCCCCCCAATCTGCCCCTGTCGTGGGTGCTCTGGGCTTTTGTGCAACGATTTGTAGCACAACTTAGATAAACCACAGAAAACCTAATCCTTGCAAAAAATATGCATATTTTCAGAATCACAGCTTCTTTTAAATTCTCTAGGCACTAATGGAAAATATGCTATAGGAAAATAGGCACAAAAAATCCATAAAAGCTTTCAAAGCACAGGAAAAAAATCACAAGCAACTCTATTCACATAACAATTTTATAATAAACATAATATAGATTTAAATCAATTTCACCTATATGGACAACAGTTGCAATATACATCTAATTCTGCAACTGTCACTCATGTCATGTTGACATCAAGTTGATAAGATTGTGTTACATTCATGCACTAGTGTATAGACCCTTTTCGAGTTCCAAATTACCGCTGTGTTTCTTGATTACAGACTCATTTACACAGGGTTAGCCTCGATTTTGTGAAGAATATTCACGTTCCAGTCAAGGTCCGTCGAATTTCAAAGTATTTGTATTGTTAGAGTTGTCTATTCTTTACTTTGCTGTTGGTATTTGTGAATATTTAGACACCGATTTGAGACTAACCCTGTGTAAATGAGTCTGTAATAAAGGAACACAGCCGTAATTTGGAACTCGAAAAGAATCTATTTTTAAATTCACTTATATCATGTTTCATAAAGATTGTGTTACACCTGTTGTGGTAGTATCATGTGACTGTCACTCATGTCATGTTGACATCAAGTTGATGAGATTGTGTTACATTCATGNTAAAGATTGTGTTACACCTGTTGTGGTAGTATCATGTGACTGTCACTCATGTCATGTTGACATCAAGTTGATGAGATTGTGTTACATTCATGCAGTAGTGTTTTGTCACTTATGTCATGTTTTTTAAAGATTGTGTTACACCTGTTGTGGTAGTATCATGTGACTGTCACTCATGTCATGTTGACATCAAGTTGATGAGATTGTGTTACATTCATGNTAAAGATTGTGTTACACCTGTTGTGGTAGTATCATGTGACTGTCACTCATGTCATGTTGACATCAAGTTGATGAGATTGTGTTACATTCATGTGGTAATGTTTTGTCACTTATGTCATGTTTTTTAAAGATTGTGTTACATTATTTTATAATTGTTGTGTGACGGATAAGATCTTGTTCAAGAAGCACTTGGTATCAGGTTCTGTAGGATGTTACTTCTAGCTGGGTCCATCTGTTTTGCAAGTTCTTTGACTTTGTTTTCATAATCCAAACTACTTTGACTGTCAAAAAAATATAAACCCTTAAGATTATGGTACAATACCCCGCAAATCATATACACATATTAAATTCTATGTAATATATACAGTATGAGTGGCCATGTTGTATCCGATATAGAAGCTCAAGGCGTAGCCGAGAGTTTGTATATTGGATACAACACAGACACAAATACTGTACAGATTGCTTAACAAATGTCTAGGTTAGTTCCTTTGTGTTTCACTAAAATTTTCAAGATAAAAGTGAATCTGGCCAAGAAAATCCAAGTTAAAGTTTATGCAAATGAAAACGATTCAACATCTGATTTACAAAAATCCTCACCATCATGATTTCAGTTGTGTTATCCTCATGAATCTTTAATGGATTGTTCTACAAAGAGTTCTGACCAACTTCATATAATTTGTGAGCTATTCCCTAGTAATTCCAAAATTATTTCAATTTATAACCCTGTGCATTTTCTCATTATGTATAGTATACAAATCCTCACCTATGTATAACAAATGCTTCAGCCTGAGCTGGTTCGTGGAAGTTTGGATCTTTGAGCAGTAATTGAATTCCTAACAGCACCTTAAAAATAACCAGATAAAGAAAGAAAGAAACAAATATATACATATATGCAGTGATAGGCAACCAGAAAAAATATCAGTGATGATATCCAATAATTTCTGATATACTTGTGATATGCTTGTAAGTATGTATGAAAGGATCAGAATTTCTGCATATCACTAGGGCTTTTTGAATAACATATCAGAGATGGTATCCAATAATTTCAAATAAAATTTTGATATACTTTTATGTATATGCAATAGTATCATAATTTCTGCATATCGCTGTGTATATATACATGTATATACACTCAATTGAAGAATTGTTGTCGGGTTCAGAAACATAGAATATAGAAGCTGAGATCGAAATGGCACATGGGAAGTACGTTAATTAGATGCATGTGTGACTGGCGACCCGTGGCATTATCCACTGTTTTTAATACGCATTTGGCATTCTAAACCGACTGCATGGATGGCGCAAATAAATAAATAATAATATATTTATGTCATTTCCCATGTGCCATTTCGGTCTCAGCTTCTATGTTCTATGTTTCTGAACCCAACGTAACGATTCTTCAATTGAGTGTATATATAGGTAGATAGATGGATGGATAGATAGATAGGTAGATTATATATAGATAGCAGATGGATAAACAAATAGATACATTGGTGGTTCAATAGATGGGTAGATTGATGGATTGGTGGATGGATGAATAGAATGGATCAATGAATGGGATGGATAAAAAGGGATGGATAAAAAGGGATGGTTGGAAAGATGAATAGGATGGATGGGTGGGTGGGTGGAAGGATGGATGAAAGGGATGTATGGATGAAAAGGGTAGATGGATAAATGGATAAATGGTATGGGAGGATTCATGGGATGAATTCCCCATTCCGAAATTCAAAGGAAGACTGGTGCCGAATTTAGGGACTTAGGGAATACAAATGGCTGATGAGAAACGATAATCTCAGAGTATCCTCGACGAGCACAAAGATATGTGGTAAACACTTTCTTTCTTTGAAGATATGTTGATCGTCCATGTTTATGGAAGTCACTGTCGATTCTATAACTGTTGAAGTGGAACTCCCTGGTGTTTTACTTTTCTTTGATACTTCATTTTTGACAATTTCAAGTTGTTTATGTACGGTCTTAGACCAGGTGAATATCGATGGCAACTGAGTACGACTACATCTCTCTCCTCCTGGAAAGTGTTTACCACATATCTTTGTGCTCGTCGAGGATACTCTGAGATTATCGTTTCTTATCAGCTGTTTGTATTCCCTAAGAACCTTAGGATCTCCCGGAAGTGCATGGAACTTCAACCCAGGAGAATAATTTCTCCAGTTATTTGTACAATTCAGAATGCAACAGTTGTATTTCCCCATACTTTCTCTCAAGCTGCCATCTTGCGTCCCTAAATTCCGCCCCAGAATTCCAAGCGGCGTGGATTCGGCACCAGTCTTCCTTAGAATTTCGGAATGGGGAATGGAAGGATGAATGAGATGGATACTTACTTGTTTCATTGTGACTTGAGGTTTCCAGCCTTTATTCTTATCGATCAGTGACAAGCTTACGGTACCAGAGGGAAATACATTAGGATGTAGAAGAGCTGGTGTGAAGATACCTGGTCATGACAAAAAGAAACAGATCAAAATGATATTGTACGAGGTTGACGTTGACATTGACGTTAGTTAAGGAGGTGACCTTGGCTACGCCTTGTCCGATTCTCATTCTTCCTTTGTGCTTAGCAAGATCATGGATGCACACAAAACATGATGGAAGCATATTGCCAGTCAATGACTAAATGCTTTATTGGTCTTACATTTTGGAGGAGAGTATGGATAATCCGTTGGGAATTCCATCTGCATTGGATAAAGACCTCCTTCCCATGGTGACTGTAAATAGAAGAAAATTAATACTGTAAACTATAATATGGCTACGTAATTTTAATGTCTAAGGCCTAAAATATCTCAGGATTTTCATTAAGAGTTGGAGATCGGAGATTAAACTAACATTGATAGCTTAGTAATAAGCCTTTTCATAGTTTAAGAATCGATTCCACTGCGCATGCAATGTTATCCCGAATTTCTCACCTTCTTTTGTTTAATTAAGAACAAAAGAAGGTTTAGACAAAAGAAGGTGAGAAATTCGGGATAAAATCGCATGCGCAGTGGAATCGATCCTTAAACTGTGAAAAGGCTTATTTGGAAAACGTTCACTTGGTCCAGGACTCTAAAGGCCGAATTAGACGGTAAAATTTTTGCCTACAACCAATGCATGCAACCTGCTCACGTCATACTTATGACATGACTTAGGTCAGATCCACACCCCTACCACAGACTTGAGTGAGTTGTAGGACAGAATTACATGACACAACTCATGCCGTAAGTATGACGTGAGCAGGTTGCATGCGATGGTTGTAGACGAAAATCGTACCTTCTAATTTGGCCTTAAGGCAGTTCATGATCTTCTCCTACTCCTTTTAAACTACCCTGATATCTGATCTTAAAAAAAATAATTATATTTTAGCTTTCTATAACTTTAAGTATTGATAATTTTTACCTTTTCTGGGCCTGGTATTCCTATACAAAGAAGGAAAAAGAGAAAACATTAAAAATCATTTGAAAATGGGTAAGGCATGCCTAGATGAGAATATGTGGACCGCGTAGCAAATATAGGTAAGTTATAGTGCTTGGGAACTAGGTTATTCCGGGCGAAAGACCCTTGGAATTAAATTCGGAAAAATTAATTTCCGACATGCCTGCTTTACATCAAAGTTTGGCTATTCCTTGCCATATGCCCAGTGTGACCAATCAAATGGAATTCACTCAAAATGATTGAATTTGATTGCATTCAAACAAAATGGAATGCTTAAAAATTGTGAATTCTATGACATTTGATTTCCAAACATAATCGAATGTTTGAATTCATTCCTATTTTCCTATTTTGTAGATGCAAATCTATGACTCTCACTGTCTTGGTCCAATCAGGAAAATGATGATTAGCATTGTGAAATTGATGGATAGAATGCAGTACATGCAATATATATTTAATCATATGTCTAGAGCATGATTAGTACCATTATTGTTAAAGTGCAAAGCACAAAGTTTGATATCTCGCTTGTCAATTAGCATTTCAACCACTGTCAATTGAATAGCTGAAATAGAAGAGAGACACTACCTTCACACTATTTTCAGTTGAATCAAAGACTTAATTATACAGCTTCTCATTCATCCCATATAGGTAACTGTCCAATTATTTTCTTAATTGGACAGGTCTTGTTGATATGGGATTAATTAGGCAGCTATATAATTAATAGGTAATGGGATTTCATGCTCCCCAATCAAGAAATAATTAGACTAGAAAAATTCCTCTGACTACCAAATTGGACTCGGCCTACGGCCTCATCCAATTTTGTCAGTCCTC